GCAGTCCCCAAACCCAACACCTAAAATAGCTAAACTAAATCAATCAGGTATTCAGGAAAATTAAAGATTTCCTAAAAAGAGTGTTAGAAAGGGCCCATCAGTAAACAAATAGATGCAGCAAAATAAAGTGGAAACTGTTTTCCCTCTTCTCCTTTGGAAAACACCCACAGAAAAATCTTCATGTTGTATAGTAGAACTATTGAATGAAACGCAGCAAAAACATAGCGTGGAGTGATTTTCTAAATCACTAGGCATGGAGCAGGAGGAAAAAGCACAATAACAGCTGACACAATATTTCTACTTACTGTTTCTTTGCCTCTTCAAATTTATGCAGCTTTTTCCTCAAGCCACCTGATTTAAAGCCTTGACAATGAGCTGCTGGTGCTCCTATGGTGACTATGTCGTAGTTCTGATCTGGAGTGGACAAAAAGGACTTACAAATGAAAGTTTGTCATCTTTAATGTGAAAAAAACAAGTGTGGAAGTTCAAAAACTACTCTGAAAGTAATGTTTGGAAAACTTTTTGCCAGTGTTTTGAAGGACATACAAAACTGAATTGCTCTAGAGGCCCTGGAAATCCATCAAGTAGTTTTTGAGGTGAAAGACTCATACTTGGATGCAGGTCCTCTGTTTCTTAACCTAGAAGACTGACAGTGAAAAAGAAGTCTTGAACATTGGTCTTTACACAAAACCTGCCAGTACTGGAATCCCTCACATGGATACATGGGACAATGTGTGTCCATGGTTAGTGGAAACTACTGCTAAAAGAAGAGAACACCTATGTTATCTATGAAGAAAGGAGCTTGATGTGAATAAACATGTGATTTTGCATAACTGTACTGGATGGTTCCAGAGAAAAAGCTTAACAATAGACAACAGTCAGAACCCTTTGCTATTCTGCTACAAACCAAAATTACTGGAGAGACATAGCAGCTTAAGCCAGTCCTAGTAGAAAGACTAACTTTTGCCATCTGGGGGACTGTAAAGTCCAGAACCTAGTTTTGCCACCTGTAGGACAGCAATAATTATACTTACACGTGTTCTATTGCAAAGAGATTTGGAATCTGAGGATAGAAGGTGCTAAAAAAATGCCAGGTAGCACTAATCCAGTAGTTTGTAGAAACTTGGCTATAGAGTTGAGGATGGATATAAAGATACAGAGAAAAGTAACAGAATAAGGTAAAGAAAGAGAGAAAGAAATAAATACCTGATCCTCCATCATCCTGGACTCTCATTCTCTGTATATGTAAATTTGTAGGAACAAATTCCAATTTTTTATCAGCTTTCAAGCTACTGGCTTTAAATGAAGGACCTGAGAAAAACAGGAGAAAAGTAAGTATAAACCCCCTCTCCTTCTGCCTGTGCTAAAACATTCAAGAAGCTTCATTCATCATTTGCTATGTACTGAAAGTGGACAAAACAAAGAAAAAATACAACTTTCTGTTACTGTTCATACTTGTTCTCTACTTCAAGGTAAGATAAGAGAATGAATAGAGCAGACAAATACTCCCAGATAATTAGCAAACTCAAAATAAATGTTAATAAAGGTGTGAAATCTAATAATAGCATTTTTTTCTCCTCAAACTAAAACATTCTGGGTTTCTAATGTCAAAGAAATACTAACAAGCCTGACTGAGAAGAATCATGTTACTATATTAAAAAAATCACCTTTGTACTGGTGTAGGTCAGTTAGATTTTCCTGATAAGTCAAAATAATGGTTTGGTACTGAGTCACTATTTGTCGACGAAGGCTTTCCCAACAGGGAGACAGTTCTCCCAACTCTTCTAGTTCACAAACCCTGGGGGAAAAGTTAAAAAAAAAAGAGAAAAGATTTGTTTATGACCATAGTCCACTTGACAAAGGATGACTTTCACATTGTATCAACGTAGCACCATCCTCAGTTGTGTTCAGTGTGGTCTAACCCACTCACCAGACTGGGAATGCTTCCAAACATATGTCCCAAGTCACAGCTGCTGAGCTCCACTACTCTGTCTACTTAAAATATTATTTGGAATAAAGGAGGAAGGAGAAAAGTAAACATGTCAACACCAGACACAGTCCAACAGCACATTACCCAGAAAAGGTAGAACAATCATCTCTCAAAAGGATCCAGCAGTTCTTTCTGCAGTTCTCTCAATACTCTTCATTCTATAGTTTTAACCAATGGTCTGTACAGAATTTAAGACACCATTTCACTCAGCAATTCCCATGCCACAGTATTTAGCATATTATCAAAAGGAAACAAGTTTTCAAGAAAAACAAAGCTTGGTTTGCCAGTAGGCAACAGTGTAAACTATATTTATTAGCAACTTGGATGAAGACACTTTCAGTTTCATCTTGCAAACTGCTTCTGCACGAGATGCTATTCTGATTACCTCATCAAACTCCCTGCTCAAAACTATCCATGCATCTGAGCCCTGGTCTTCCCAGCTTAATAATTCAAGTTTACTTGTTTGTGCCACAGAGCTAAGACAGCAGGGAATGTGCATGCCATAAATAATTAGGCAGTCAAAACATCCCCCCTCTGTTTCCTCTCAAAGAGCTCTGGTCCAGAAGAGTTTTATGTAAGAGACAGCAGTTGTGACTATCCAAGGACATTTTAGAAGTCACCAGGATGTTGAGCCAGAAGCAGCTGTGCCTGTGGAGCTGTCTGTTATTCCTCTGGGCTGCAGCACAGAGTGTAGAGAACAGGGAGCTTGGCCAAATCTGAGAGATCCTGTGAATACCAAGTGTGATTGTGCACGTCACTGCAGGTCACTCCAGCTGAACAGGGAGAAGGGAGTCCTTCTTGGTAATTGCACAAGAGCCATGTTTACCTTCGAGCCACACAACTCAGAGCACACAAAGTCATATTAGCAATCACCTGCACTGTTATTAACCCATAACTGTACACAACAGGCATCCCCTGATCTCTGTCTGATTTTAGCAAGAGCCTCTGAACAATCACATTTCATGGCTAAGGCCTCAAACATCACTGTCTACAGTCTTACAGAAAGCCACAGCTTTTTCATCCTGAATTCTCCTCAAGTCCTTAAACTACATCCATCATAAGATGGCACCTCATGGGTAAATTTGCCAACTCTTTACATTATTATTATTATATGGTCAGTGGGATTGAGTGCACCCTC